AAAATTAACATGAAAATGTGGTACGCTTATGTGCTCAAATCTCTCTAAATGACTTATCTCCACACAGAACAAAATTTAAAATGAGCATCTTTTTGAGCAAGAAAAGGTGTCTGCTTTTCTTCGAGTGCCTCTTCTGCATCTCTGCATCTTGGCAGCTCAATTCTATAATTTAAGCAATCTTGCTTTTTTATTTCGGAAGCTAAAATGTACTCCAAGTAGAAACGGCCTGAGAGTATCTCTATATGCAATCACTTGCAGGCAATAATTTGAGCATAAGATTGTAATAACCCAATCATAACTGAACACAACCTATTCTTATATTTTCCTGCGGAAAAAAACTCGCTTTACTAATTTATGCGATCCAAAGTAGTTTACTCAGGGCAATTCTGAAGAATTATTTATCCTTTCAATCTTTTTGTTCCCTTACAAGATCATTGTCAGATAAATTTTAATTAAGAATTTAGGATTTCCAGCTTTTAATTTAATGCAATTGAATGTTAAGACAATTCGATTTAATAATATGTAAAATGAGTGAGTTGGTATATTATGAACTGCGCAAGTACGGTCAGAGTAAGAAGAAAATCGACCTGACATGACACAATGTTATCACCTCTGAGTAAAGTAATCTCATGTGCACTCAGACAGGCTGGAAGGTGGGACCGTGCAACTTCGCGTAGAGAGGAGTAAGTGCTTCGCGTGTGTGGAGAACACATTGTCAAACGTCAATCAATAGGCCTTGTGTGGTTTTTTAAACCCGCCTTATTAACATTCATTTATATCGAATGGCAGGCGTTTTGATAATTATCGTTAGCCCTTTAGTTGACTTCAGGCTTCACAGAGGGGATCAGGAACATCAAATTGAAAAAAAGTCGAATGGGGAGGGAATAGAAGAGTGTTGCAAAGATGTAAAAGTGACAGGCACAAAGGTAGAAAAAAGTGAGGTGATTACTTTGGAATGAGTTGAATATGCCATACGGTGGGGTGATGGCAGTTTGAAGTCAGAAGTCAACTGCCAGTTAATAGACTCTTTTGCCCAGGGTGCACCACGTGGAGGTACGTCTATTGCGCACTCCGCCATATTAATATACTGACGCGCAATCACTCGCACACGTCCCGAATAAATGTGCTCCGTGTGAAACGTCTGTTTCCTCTATTGCTTTACAGTAGCTGAGTTAGTCCTGGGGGGCACTTTCCAAACATAAGCGAATCTGCCATAGAGGTTACTGAATAAGGTCAAGGCTTATTCGTGTAGCAATCCGCTACGCATGATAAAGCCAATTGTCCTAGAAATAAAATTGTCAATAGACACTGGGTAACAATTTGCTTGGTAACCTAGAAGACGTATTATGAAAATTTGCGTTATGCCGGGTGGGAAAATGATTTGGTTTTTTAGAAAATATCATACGAAATCGGAAATTAAATGAAATACGACTTATTTGAGGCTTTGAGTCCACCTGCCAACTTCAATTTATATGTGGCCTTTGAACTTGAGTTCTTTAATTTGCTTTGTATTATTTTAACACTGGATTGCTTTAAAATAGACGGAAAACGAGATTTTTAGTTTGCTTTTTCATAATCTTAATAAAATTTTGGAAATGTTGGTCTTTGGATTTAAGGATTTCCTAGCCCACACTCATTAGGTCAAACTGATTAATGGGTTCTGACATTGATTTCATACGTCTACAATTATTCCAAAAGTCACATTAAGAGAAATTGTCATCTCAATTATTTAAATCTACACTCAGACAATCTCCAGGGTTATCTAACAAAGATAGGAGCATCTATAGTTACTACTTTTGCGCCAATATTTATAGAACTGGAATCAACGGGTTTTTTGAATGAATACGGACAACTTCAAAGTCCGATGTCTCTTTTCTTTTGGTGATTCCAAAATACGATGGATAAAGTTTCACTATTCTCTTTCAGTCGATCCACTTGGTGCACCCTGGGCAACGTACACTCATGCGCAAAAGTCTATAAACTGGCAGTTGACTTCAAATTACCATGACCACACTGTATGTCATATTCTACCACTTTCACAGTACTCATCTTTGCCTTTTTCTCTACCTTTGTGTATCTCTCTCTCTTTTACATATGTACATCACTCTTCTATCCCCCCCCCCCCCACTCTAATTACTGTGACTTTGATGTTCCTCCTCTCAACTCTGTCAACATTAAGCCTGTCATTTGATATAAATAAGTTGATCAAACTACGAAAAGGTTAAATTATTCTGCTCAAAGCACATTGCGAATTAAAACATTTTAAATGCTCAGTACATCCTCACCTCTGGCTCACCTTTCTTTTAAGACTCTCTATAAAGACGATTGTCTTCTTCTTATAAGGAAAAAATTTCCTTCTGGTCTTACCTATTGAACAATACGAGGCTGTCATAAATTGTAGAGGACAGGACTCCACTAGTTTGCATCTTAATGCATTGCCCTCCGAGTGAAAGATAAGAGGATCAGGCCAAAGTTTCAGCCTTACAAAATCACATTTGCTTGGCGTCTACACTCACAGACAAAACACTTCACCAATATTAAGCATATTAAAGCAATTTAATTAATAAACACATAGAGCTCGCCAACCAAAGTATGTACCACGATTAGGCATATACTCTGATAGCTTATTACCAAGTGGCAAATATGCGAGTAATAGGTGCAAACAATTAAAACTATCTCACATTTGCTCTTCGGGTAGGAATCACTGTCTTAGCGAAATGTGCATCAATAAATACCTTATGCATATTTGCTCAAGTATCTCAATTTGATAATCATTAATCAATCCTGATTTACTGTTTCTGCGATCTAAAGTTATTTTTTTGATATCATGGGGGCTGGTGAAAATGCTATCCATTGATTAGGTCATATCATCATCCTTATATCAAAATGACAATCAATGTGGTCTTCCAACAATAATTCTACTCTTCAAAATGCACTCGTTCCAGCCCACTTGAATACCAAATTACTTACATCTATCTCACCTGCCTATAAGCATTTTTATCTAAAGATATGCAACTCTGAAGGTGCCTTAGAACTAACGTTTCAGGTTGATAAGGCACATTTATTCACTGTCTTTCCAATCAGTTACATTCTATGGCCCTCGTTTTATTCCTCTGTCTTTACTAGTACTGAGACTTTCTTTGTGCTCTTTACGACTTCAGCTACACGAGCATCTGTCACAAAAGAACAAATAATAAGCACGAGGAGTAATGATCAGTTGGAATAGATTTATTGTTAACTGAGCCATAGAATCAAAGTATGGCGAAAGGACAATGCTATGTTTCTGCCTTTTTATTATCCAAAACGATTACTTATGTCTATTTGAAAAGTATATCACACCATAATCAAGTGTTTGAGAATGTAAGTCCAGGTAGTTTGTTATCCTAACACGCGAACTGTCAATCTGCCTATATGCCAATGAAAGACAGAATATTAAACGCTGATTTACTGGTAGGCCGAATATACATATTAGGAAGATAACAAACACCAAACAATTTTTACCTGAAATTTAATTTGGGTACAGGATTCGTCAGCGCTTCCTTAGATGAACGTAAGCGATTAAAAAACATACGGTAATGAGTTAACACAAGCTTTACATTAAAATAAAGCCTTCAAACTTCTTTCTCTATCTCAAACGCTTAAAGGTCTTTATAGGTGGATACTTTCCAATAATTCTCTAAGTACGTTGATCCTCTATAAGAGCCATACGGACGCGGTGATTGAGTAAGTGAGATAATAGTTACGAAGGTGGAAAATACAACTTTGGAATGAGCTTTCTGAAGGTCAGCATGGGTTAATGAGTGGCATTACCGTCCCAAAATGACGAGCAAATGGAATCCTAACACTCTCATTATTAACTAAATTAAAACAATGTGGATCTCATCTCATTAATGGATCTTGAACAGGTGACTTTCGATTTTACAGACTAATACGTTAACCACCAGAGTACACAATTAATTGATAAATCAGTGTTCACTCTTATTCATCATATAAAATTGAATATCGGTTATCAGTTAATCTTATAACCTCCTCACCTGCTGGTTCAACCGGAAATATCAAGACAAGGGAAGTATTCAATTAGTTATAATGAATGCCTACCTTGGTCAATTTAGGCAATGATTTTAAAAGCATACAGTATCTCATTAATGCCTTAAAAGTCGAAATAGGTAACTGAGTTAATGAGAAGAAAAGAAAAGATTTAAAAATAACTTTATTAGTCAATTTTCAATAGAGAAAGGAAAGGGAGGTGCGAGAATAGCTGTTGAAATTATATGAGGTCGCAATTAGCACCGGTATTTTCACAGTAGTCAGAATAATAGAAATGAGTAACATACACCACCACAGCTTTAAAGATTATGACGATCTTTTCGCTCAATTTTTTTACTATAAATTGAGAAATTGATTGAGAATGTTTAGGAAATAATGTGAAGGAGAGTTAGTGAAGTTAACTCTTCTAAGTGGAGTCATTCGGCGCAATAAGTCAATATTCACACCAACTTGTATTGATAGAAATCTTGTCGCACTTGGATGAAGATAACAAACAAGATAAGCTAAAACCTCCTGAAATTACTTAATAAACCAACGTAGTTTAAACGCTCGAATAGTTGATAAGATAGCAAGTACAATGTATATTAATTTTTAAAAAAATTGGATCAATATTTTGTTACTAATAAACTCTTATCAGTGTATCAGTTATTGCGTAGATCAAAGCATTTTGTATTGGGACAATCAAATTGCGACAAAATCGGGTGCCGGTTGGTTTATGGCAAATATAATGTTGTATAACGGCCTTGAAATGTCGCGAATAATCTCGCGGTGTGCGTTTGCACATTTTAGGTTTTTATTAAATCCAAATGTGGGAAAAGTAAGTCTAACTAAATTTGAATTTACTAAATATTAGCGCTTATCATCAGTGTCGAGCTCGCCCTTAACGAGAAGAGGGTCAAAATCAGTTGCAATTACTTCGTCAATTGAATATTATTTACAAAATTACCAAGCCTATGGTATTACATCTTTTTAGTACATTCTGTCACCTTTCAGAAAATATGCTTGAGGAGGAAAGAGTGAAGTATGAAAATGGGAAAAAGTTTCTGGCTCGACTCATGGGCCATGATCCAGCCACCTTCACTCAAGAGCAAGTTGATGAGGCAATCAGATATCTCTTTCCGTCAGGTCTTCAATCTAAGAATGCCCATCCAAAACTTAAGGTATTATCATCATTCACTTTATTTTGTCTTTTTAGCCACCAGAAGGGATTTATCCTGAGAAGAAAAGTAAATCTAACTTAATTTTTATGAAAATGCTTTTAGAACTTCAATTCGATAGAACTGGTAGGCCCTTTCATGATCTTTACTACACCGGAAAACCTGCCTACTTTGAAGCTATGCATGTATGAGTATTATATTTGACTAAATACTTTGCATATGTAGAAAGCCAGTGCTTTGTTTGAAGAGCTGAATCTTTTGTTCGATCGTGGATATATTGATCGAGATTTTACTGGTTTCAAAAATCCCCGCTCAATGTATGCCTTTTTCGACATCTTGTTAAAGAGTTTTTAGTGTAGTTGCCTCGAGTGTGTGGCTTACGAAGGAACAGCTTAGTCGGAAGCTGTTAGAACCTCTGACTGAAGATATGGTAGGCTCGCTTTCATTTAATTGTCAATTCTCTAGTATGCAAGCTGGTTAAGGGTTATGGATACTCTTTTAAAGCATCCTCTTGCATGGCATGCGGAAAGCTTCATCAATTCCTATCGAGTCTCCGTGCAAGAAACTTTCTCAGATGAAGCCTATCCAGAGGTTTGGTGAACTTTCATACCCTCTATTAAAACCCCTAGCCTCATGTAGATCCTGACACCAACTGTCGGTTTATCGACACTTTTGGCCAGAAGAAACATGCCTTTGCAGAGCTTAGAATGACCCAACCTGGAACTGGGAAATTCATTGTTAATGATAAGAGGCTTCTGGAGTTCTTCCCCCACCTTGGTGATCGGGAACAGATCATGTTCCCTCTCCAATATACAGGTGCTCACACTGAAAAAATCTATGTATATGGTTTCTAGTTGCATATCTCACTTAAAATTTTCGATTTTAATTTGAATCTGCCAGGCATGCTGGGATCTGTGGATGTAGTAGCCAAGATTTCAAGTGATACCGAAACTGGGCATAGTTCGAAAGCAAACGCCCTCCGATTGGCCGTAGCTCGAGCCCTGGCTTGTTTCCTACCCGGTGATCAGGGGTTTAATCGATTGCGCGCAGCCGGCCTCCTCACGCAAGACGACCGATTCTCTGAACGCAAGAAGCCTGGCCAGAAGAAGGCTCGTAAGAAACCTATTTGGTTAGTTCACATCATTGTGCCTTGTTTGTTGTTTATAGAGGGCGCTATTATTAAGCTCGTTTTTTTATTTTAGGAAGGCTCGTTAATCCCAGGCACAACTTTTTTTATATAAATAGAAAGCTTACATTAATTAAAAGCTGCTTTTTCTTTTGTTGCTCTGATGCGTCTGCCCAACCGCAATGGTAAATAAAATAGGTGGCAAAATGGGATTTCCTCATAAGAATCATACGTGAATATCTTAACTTAATACATTTAAAAACCTTCTTGGTGAAGCTGGATCCAGTATTCTTGTTGTACTCGGAAACAGCGCTATCTAGAGGAATTTTTACTGTCTTTAAATCTTATTTAAAATGAACAAAATCGTACTTTGGTTGCGCGATGATTCTGCTCTTGGAGCAGGTTCAGTTGTGACCTTATGATGGTTATTATTAGCCCTTAAGTTGAATTCGGACTTCGCGGAGGGGAAGAACACCGGTCACTAGAAGTCGAGAGAGGGTTGAGCAGAAGATAGATTCCCAAATGTAAAAGAGACCGACAAAGACAGAGAAAAGGGAAGATGAGTACTGTGAAATTGGTAGAATATGGTATACCATGGAGTCATGGTAGTTTTTAGCCCAAAGTCAACTGCCGGTCTATAAACCTTTTTGCCGCACGAGCATACGTGGAGATAAGTCAATCGCTCACACCGAAATTTCTTAGTTAATTCAGTCAAAGTGCGTTCAACATCTCCCTATTGAACAAATGGTCTTTCTATGACAAACAGATTAGGCCTTTCAAGTGAGAACCCCGAGTTGGGTTGGACAATTTGGAATAAACAAGAGTAAGGAGAAAATGACGAATTAGTGAACGCAGCACCATTACTGGTCAGTCTAAAAATCTAGCAAAGCCCGATTGCCTCACAATTGCCTAAAGATCATAGCACTCCAAGTAAAAAAGGGCCGAGACACATCCCCTGGTCTTTTCGATTTTCCAATACTTAGGTTGTTAATTATACCAGCTACCCATTTCATATCATTACTGAAGCAAATCAACAACCCAGCTTGTACAAAAATCTAGTTGATTTAACCGAACTATACCTCAAAAAGGGCTCATATTTCTCAAAATAATCGATGCTGATAGAAAGGCTATTCAAAAGCGATTAATTACAACGAAATTACCAATAAATACTTCCGATAACAACTAGTACATTTAAAAATATATGCCAAAATTAGAGAACTCATAATGCTGGCAAAATGCCAGTCAACATAATCATAACTAAATTCATAAGAATAAAGGAGTATTGTCAGTTTCCGATACTATTTATTCAAAATTACACAGGAACTTAATGCCCAACTCTTCGTGCACGAAGACGACGATCTCTCTCCTCCAGAACCGAAAGTCGAATACCCTTGCCTTTGGGGAGCGAAATCCATGCCTTATTAGCCTTGCCAATAATGAAGATATTATTCAGGCGGGTAACGAATTGATGACCGGTATTGTCACGAACGTGAACCATCTCGACGGAACCAGGATGACGTTCCCACTCAGTAATGACACCGACACGACCCAAGTTATGGCCACCCGTGACCATGCATACATTGCCTAAAAAGCCAATCACAAAAATACAATTACCTTACCTGGTTCGAATTTGATAAAGTTAAGAATGTTGCCAGTTTTTAAATCGATCTGAACGGTATCGTTAACTTTAATCTCAGGGTTGGCATATCGAATGGTACGTCCATCGTGAGTAACAATGTAGGGCACTTTGCCAGCTCCTACCAAGACTTTGCGGATCTTGCATAGCTTGTAGGTAGCTTCATCGGCGTGGATTCGGTGTATTGCAAAACGCTTCTTCGTATCATAAATAAGACGGAAATGTTCCTTAGTGCGTGGAATGGAAATGACATCCATAAAACCAGCTGGAAATTTCCTGTCTGTACGGACCTTACCGTCGACCAGAACGAGGCCTTGTGCCAAGATCTTAGTGCATTCATCATAAGAAAGTGCATACTTAAGACGATTGCGGAGAAATATCGCAAGAGGAAGGCACTCCTTTAGCTTGTGAGGACCGGTGCTTGGTCGTGGGGCAAAGTTGCCTCCCAACTTATCAAGCATCCAATGCTTTGGGGCATTTAAACGCTTCAAATGTTTCCTATTTCCGCGTACCTAAAAAATAAGAGAACAGGTAAAGCATTTCCAATTTGCATGATAAACGCAGGCGGGAAAACATACACCCATGATTACGTCCAAGTGAACCGCCGACGGCACAAAATGTGGCTCAAACAAACAAATTATTAAAATAATAATATTAGTCTTATAAAAAAATTAATTTTGTGCTTTTATAACTCCTAAAAGATAACAACTATTTTATATTTCATAAGAATAACCTTTACCGCATTATTTTTTAAAACTATATTAGCTAGTTTTTATATAGAAGTAATTGTATAATAATTGACTGAGGACAAACCAACTTATTTTGTAACCTATTACCTCTTCTAAACCGGATTTTAATTGGAAAAAGCTTATGAACAATTTTAAGTATTTTTCTTTTTGATGACATAGTGGTCTTTCGAGAGATATTCACTATCATGCTTCAAAAGAAAATTAGAAACATATTACTCTAATTTAAAATCATTATATTCATTTCAGATTTATTTTTACTATATTATCTAATATTTTTTACAATAAATTCATCACTTGTGCAACAAATGGCCATTATTTCTACATTATTCTTTTCATTTTTAGGATCGAATTTAATTATACTTTCAAAAAGAGAGCTTAAATATATTTAAAATTTTGCGAATTTAAATATACCTTTAAAGGAGTTGAGTATTACCCTTTTACATTTCCTTATAAAATATGTCTACGCATATATAATTTACTGTAATATATCATTTTTCTTCTGCAGTGTAGATGTCATATAGTGAGGTGCTGTGACTTTGGGACAGCTTTATACTTGTACTTTTATATCATTATGATCCAGAAACAATTTTATGAATTCATTTTACTCTATTTTTACTATACTGTAATAAGATTGGCTTCACATGAAAGTGTGTACTAATAGGAGTGTTAAGAAAACAACGTAATTTAATTTTAGTCAAGATACTAGATTATTTTTTCCCAGTAGAGTTGTCATTAGAGTGCAACTTGAGTGAACGCAAGCCTGCTCTTCCAAGGTCTGGTTATGTCTGTTCTTGTTATTTAATAGAAGCTTGGCTAATCTAATTAAAAAGATGTCAGATGTGATTGAGCAGCTGAAGAACTCAATCATCTGGTGAAAAAGTCCGTTGCTCGGCAAACATGATTTTCCGTAAGGAAGAAGGAAATATCCCAGCAAAACAATTTTGGAGGCACTGTCCCATGAAAGGGAATTGCGGAAGAAATTGCTCGGTTGTACGCCTGTTGTAACTTTCTGAAAATATTGTTCAGTTTCACGAAACACGTAAGTCATAAAGAACAATTGAAAAATTAATTTATTTGCTTTGGAATAATACGAGGTCCACGAATAATTACCCACTGGACCATCCTATTACTTCACTAAGTTTCCGTATCAAATCATTCTACTCCACCTCCCCCCCCCCTGCCTTTGAATGCCCAGTGAAATAGAGCACAAGGAATGGATAGCGCTAATTGTGGAGCCCACCGAACTAAGGTAACACAAGTGCTCTCGAGCATTATGGAACGGTCAGCGTGCCACTGATGGCGCAAGAGAGTATGTGCGATCGTGATCACTGATACCTCTTAGCCAATCAACGACCAATGGCGACGGCGTGATCAACGCCTGACAAACTTGCATTTAAAGAATAATCCCTCTGCTGGTGACACAGTCACAATAAAGGCTTTTCACAACATGTGCCCTGTTTCCTCCAAATTATTGGGGTAGCTTAGCCAATTTAAGGAACCATTCCATACTACTTTATCTTGTTGAAGTCCAGTCTAGGCTTATTCGTGAAGCATTGGGCTACACAACAATGTGTCTGAGCAAACTGTTCTATATCTTTTTGTGTCAAGATCACCAACAGAGGAAATATAATTAAAGGCTAAAAAAGTTGTAATATTTGGGAACAAGTAAATTGCTCTTTCTTTGATTCTCGCCTTAAATACTGGGAGGAAGTGAACACTTAATTGGGAACTGAGAGGGTACACTTATTGAAATGCTCTATTTTGGCATGAGTCCATTTGCACCAGAGTCGGATTACCTCGACAGTTAGCCTGAGTAAACACGCACCATAATGAGTGCATGTGTGTTGACATGAGTGAAGTCCGGGGACATCTGATGAACTTGACTGGAATCACGCAAATGAAAAAGAGAAACGCACTTTCACTATAACTTGAACATGTATTTTGGTGGTGTTAAATTAAATACTTATTGATAAATAGGGTGACGACAAAACTTTAGAACTGCCATAGAAACCACCTTTCCAAAAACATTAAGATAGTATGGAATTCAGTTGGTCAATTTGTGGATGCATTGAGTTGTAAGAAAGACAGAAAGTCTAAATGGACTATGTCATAGTTGCAAAAAAGTCCAGTCTTTCTGTCTTGAAGGCGTCTCGGGGTTTTCCGAACGGCATCCTGTAGCCGTCATCTTGAGTTGAGAGTTGAAGACGAAAACATTCCAATCTCCGTGAACTCTGTAGTATGGAAAGGAAGATAAATCCATTCAACAAACATTGGAGGCAACTTGTTGTTAGGCAGTGAGAAGACAACACGTCCCACAGTGTGGAAAAATATTCAATGCTTAACGAACATTGTAAGTGGAGCAACTTCTAATTAGACATGGGGTTTTGACATGTAAAGAACACTAAAATGACTTTGGGTTTAGTGTGCAGTCACCAAAATTAGCGAAAGGTGATCGCATCACCAGAAGCGAAACTCCAGAGAGCACGAATTTGATAAGGTTGTTTAAGGAGCAACATCAAAGTTCGATGTTAGGGAAAATCTTAATTGCAGTAAGTGGAATAGGTTGGCACGATTGAATTTTCCAATCAAATATAAAAAACAACATACCTGTTACTACTGAGTCAGCAAGGAATGTAGAAATATAACTAAAACAAGAATTGTTTTCCTCACTTGACTAAACTCACTTTAATACTGACGGTTCGCATTTACATTATTTACATTATAATAATGCTCACAAAAAAATAACTAAGGTTTCCAATACAAATGCATTGCAAATATGCAAATTACAACGAGGACAAAACGGACGTAGATTATTGAAATAACAAATATTCAAGATTATTCTGCAAAGACATGTACCTCAATCCACAAATCACTCAAACAACAACACCGACAGAAAGTCTTCTTATCACGCAATGCATCACAGGCAAATCTTCTCAGTCTCTTCGGTATCAGTACTTGTACTATGAAACGTGGGATCGTTTTTGAGATCACGAAAACCAGTTCTGTTGGATATGCGCAGTGAGGGAGCAGAAGCCGACAACTGTGAGGCCCATTCTCGAGCTGAACTGAGGGTAGAAGGAACCACAGAGGCAATGAAACTTGAACCAACCTTAACACCCGACAGCAACTTTGTCGAAATATTGGACGAGTTTCTAATGCTTGTGTGGGTAGAGGTTTCTGAGGACAGTTTTCCAATCTGATCTTGTTCTTGCATTCGTCTGAGAATTTCAGCACAATTGGTTTCTAGAACAATACCTCCACAAACAAGCTCATTCAAAAGAAAATGAACCTAAAATCAGTAACATTACAATGAATGGTGTCACCTTGTCCGAATTAAAAATAATATCTAATTCGCAGACATTTTCAAATGTTCGGTCCAGCAAGTCCACAAATACCTGAATAAGGTCAAGTACGCCCAACTCGCTTTCTGATAAATCAATGCAGAAAATAACATAGATTGTAGAATACTGTCTATAAATTACACGATATTCACTGTCTTTTCTAAAAATCAGTGCTAAATAAATCCCTTTAAACAACAAACGTTTACATTTCTAGAAAATTACAGGATCGATTCGATCGCTTATGAAGTAGTTCATAGGTTTCACGAAGAAAAGCTTGCTGTTCCGATTCGGTCTAATAGAATTATAAAACAAGTGAGGGGAATAAATAAGCATACGCTCTCATCATAAAATTTGATCAATCTCGGTTTTCCGCTACAATTACAAATAATAATGGATTTAATCATTTATTCGGCTTTCCATTCGCTACTTCAAATCCACACAATTATGAGGTGATCCGAATGGACAGAGATAGTAGCTTAAAATAAAAGCAATCAGTCTTTCGAAAGTATTTGCTTTATTCGTGGGAAATTAGCCTAAAATTTATATTTCAAAATATATGGAATAGTATTAGGACTAATGCTTTACTTAAAGAATCTATTCTATGACATATTGCATTTAGTTCAATAATAATTTGTGTGTGTGGTAAATAGCGAGGTCTCAATTATTCCATTTGAAGGAATCATCAAAGAAACTAGTAACACTAAAATTATGAAATATTCCTCATCTTTGCTTGGCGTCGATGATGAAAAATTAGGGATTGAATTAACTAATTTTAATAGAGCATATTTGTGTCTCTAACCTCGTCCAATTACTTTGAGGTAACGACATTGCAGAATCTAAGGTATAACATCACTGTTAGATGCCTTGTCTGCCTTTATCAAAACAAATAATATTAATAATTTTACGTTCATCACATTTTCTCAATGCTCGTTTTGCTTTGTTTCTTCCACTGTGCTTAGTGTCTCCGGACATTAATCTTTCAAAAAGGTTATAAATATTCAAAGTATGCCTACATAAAAAGGTTGTCTTGCATATTTGCCTTTTCAGAACCGTCAGTTGACCATTTTAGTGTGGTTTTGCTATACGTAATAAGAGGGGGTTGAAGATGAAAATACATATTTCGACACATTGGCCTAGGAATTAAATCATGATTTTAGAACTATTAGTATAATTCGGATTCGATAGCATATAAGATACTATAAATATCTCATTATAGCTGGCATATCTTATGGGCACAATATGTGCTCAGATTAGTGACCGAAGTTTTCAAGCCATATTGGAGAGGGGATTTAGCACATATACTCATGTTTCGTAATGGTGATGATGGTGGTGGTGTCAGTGATAATGATAGTTGAACCTCCAAGAAGCTGACAGAGAAGTCTAGTGATAGTGACAAGGTAACTGTCAGAGACAATAGATAAGTTTCTAAACTCATTGTTCCTATGATGCAATTCTCCCACCATCTTGCACTAGCACCTATTCCAGGTCTTCCCATTTCCAGTTCTTCGCTTATTTCTCGTTCTCCTTCAATACGCTTCCTACTCTCCACTACCTTTTGTTCATCTTGTTTGAGAAATGATTCTGCTCGCTGTTAGGCTATGTAACAGTAAAGAAAGGCGAATGTTTCTAAGTCTGAACTGACCGGCCTTCTACAAGTAAACATTTAAGCACAAATTTCTGCTCACATACCATTAGCAGAAGTTGGTCCAATGAGTACAAAGTAACTAGACCCAACCCAACAAAATGTCGAAAAAAATCTTCCTGTATTTCATTTTCGCTCAAGATCCGCCTGCTTTTCGTTGTGTACGTATCAGTTGTTGGTGACTCAGGTAATAGTTTCTATAAATCCTCTAAGTATGTTCATTGGGGAGGTGAAATAAGTTAAATTTATCAGTAACATTTAATGGCATATAATATTAGAGGTACTAGTGAGCTCATCCTAGGCATATTTATACGATGTCTTATGACTTTAAGATTATCCTAATCAATTGGAACTCTCGTTTAGTTCTGTCCCGAGGTAAGGATTTCTTGTGGGCTTCGACATCAACTGCTCCTTGTTTCTACTCCCTAAGTGGCAAGTTCGGCTGCTGGAGTAGAAATTGTAGCCATTAGTGGAAGTATTCACTCTGAGTGAACTCCAGTGAGGACTCTCATTCCACATTACTCAAGCTGATATTATTCTTCGACCTTGAGCATTAGAGGTGAACACCATGTCTGCTTGCTCAATTTCGACTTGATTAGTTCGTTGGCAAATGGTTTTGTGTACAGGACGGTATAACCGTTCTGGTGACCGTGTTAGGGACCAAATACATTACCGCCGTCTCCGAAACTTGAGAATAAGTATTAGGTTGGCAACTAAGTCATTGTCGATTTCAAATAAGAAGGCAAATTCGGAATTTTGGTTTAAAAATATAACTTTATTCAATTAGATATTGGCCGATCTTGTCGATAACCTTTTTTCACCGTTCTGGCAGAGTAAAAATTCCCCGTTCGTAAAATGTCTGGTCTTTGCTATTAAAAAACTGAATTAGGTGTGATCCGACATCATCCGCGTTGTTAAAAATTTTACCATTTAAAGAGTTTTGCATGGAACGAAACAAATGGTAATCTGAAGGCGCAAGGTCAGGGCTATATATGGGGTGGGTGTGACAAAACATCCCGACCCAGTTCCAATAATTTTTGCCGAGTAACCAATGATGTGTGGGGCCTTGCGTTATCATGATGGAAAACAACACCCTTCCGATATGATAATGCCGGCCGCTTATCTTCAATTGCATCCTTCAGTTTTTCGAGTTCTTCAACATACACATTTGAATTTATCGTTTGGTTCTGCGGCATGAGTTCAAAATATAAAATTCCTTTGTGATCCCACCACACTGACAGCATAATCTTTTTTGGTGAATCTCTGCTGCTTTTGATACTGTTTGGGCTGGTTGATCGTGCTTCACCCATGATCTCTTGCGAGTAACATTGTTATAAACTATCCACTTTTCGTCGCCAGTAACTAGGTTCTTCAGAAATGGATCATTCTCATTCTCATTGTGTTTCAGTAGCGTCGAATCACAGATGCTAATCCGTTGCGTCAAATGAATTTCCTTTAACTGGTGAGGGATCCATAAATCAAGTTTCTTGACATAACCAAGGGTTTTTCATTTTTTTTCAATGCATGTATGCGACACATTGAGCAGCTTCTCTGCAATATCTCGTGTTGTGCTGTGACGATTTGAATCGATAATGGCCTTGATATGGGTTTCATTCACTTCGACTGGGTGGCCAGATCGTTGTGAATTTTTCAGTGAAAAATCACCGGAACGAAATCTTTCAAACCAATTTCGACACTGCCTTTCTTCCCCACGGCTTCATCTCCATATACGGCACATAACTTCTTTTGTGCTTGCGATGCGTTCTTGCCTTTTCGGAAGTAATACCCCAATAATCGAAGTATTGACTAGACTTTTGAGGGCAAGTTTTTTAAACGAGTAGCATAGAAATTGCTTGTGAAGATACATGTGATATGTGATATATTTGTATATAAAAGCAGGAATATTGGAATCGCAAAATAAAAAACACAAACGCAGGTAAATGTTAATGGAGTTAATCGATAAGTTTCGAGCACCCAATTCCCTTCGATTTAAGACATTGTGTAGCAGACTGAGTAGCAGAAGCTATCCGTGCATTGAGGAGCGGAGCTTTGGATCATTTGTAGTGGATAAATAAAAAAAATGGTTTCGGAAATATTTTTAATATTGTTTTTAATAACTATTCCTGAGTAGAAATTTGAGCAGTGTTTCAAAACTTCACTCCATGTAGACGCTAAACATGCGATGTTGAAAATAGCAATAATGGAACTTGAAGAAGGACGAAGAGGAGTTGGAGGGGGGGGCGGGGAGGAGGGAGGATGAGAACATGCATATCCGTCTCTTTGGCTCCAATTTTCAATGAATGTTAATCACAAACGGGTGACGCTGAATCAGCATTGCCGAAAACTGCAGTCTGGGTTCCTCTCAGCACCCATCGGTGTTATTGAGAAAGCATTTGATATACACATCCACGCATAAACTTTGAGCGCAAATTTTTAACTTTAGTTTAGGAGAAAGTAGTCATTCAACAAGCCAGTAGATGGAGGAGTTACAACTAAGCCACTTGAAGGCAAATGTGGTCTTCGGAGCTATTTTCGATTGAATTTAATTGGTCTCAATTGGTATTGATTTAAGGAAGTAAACAAAAAAGGTACAAACCCATTACCTGTTGGCGCGTAAAAGATCAAGAATCCCCTTAACAAAATTTTATGTTGGCAATTAGTGCGAAAAATTTATCTCCTGCTTCAAAGAGCTGTTTCCCACTACTTCTACTGCTCATCAGATAACAAAAGTACGCACATAATCTTCAACACTTCGACTACATTCAAATTCACTCTCTGGCTCACTCAAGGCCTTAATTATTCTCTTCAAAAAAACTTTAGTTATTTAACTAACAAAATGGCGGATATACAGATAGCGTAATTTATTCTAAAAGATTAGAATCACCAAGTCTCAAGCGTAATATTTTAGGAGTCAACAATTATCTGAAAATCGATTACCTATTGGTTCTCCAACTGACCCAGTAACCACGCAGTAACCGCTGTATCTGTTAGGTTGAACTAGTCCTCTCACACGAAAGTCATAGGTTCTTCCATTAGTTAACCCAAAATAAGTATGTGACCGTTGCGCAGGGGGAAGTTGGAATCCACCTGTCCAATCGTTTTTTCCTGAAACGCTCATGGACACGTCGTAGCCTCCGAAATCTCCATCTACCTCCTCCGGTTCACCGACTTTGAGTAGTACAGAAGTGGAGTCAATTGACTCAACTTTACACGAGTTCGGTGTCTTCAAGGCTGCAAGAATAAAATCAGAGTAGACATGGCACTTGGAAGTTAAGAGGGCAAGAGAAAATTGTACCTTTCCTTCTGGTTCTGACAGAAGGGAATTCATTAGATATTTTGCATTCGGAAGATTTTGGGTCGTCAACGCGGCTGGTGGAAGTAACAATAGTGCATGTGTAATTTGTGTCCTCTTCTAACTTTTCCACAATGTACTTTGTTGTAGTATTTTCCAACACTTGGGTAAAAATCGTAGTATTGCCATCAGTTTTACGGCAGGATAAATTCATTGGATGAAGAATCCAATCTGAACTTATTAGTTCCCACCAATTAAGCTCAATTCTATCATTTGAAGTGACATTTACTTTCCTCTCATGTAGCACACCACCTGAGAGGATAAATGAAAAAAATGGCATTTACGAATTCATCTTAAATTAATTCAGAATGTAAATTCTTACCTATTGGGCAGGTTCGATATTCACCCAAAAAGATGGTCCTATTATTGCTTCCAATTTCTGTGACAGAAAGGTTGTATGCCCTGTCGGA